CGGACGCAACGGAGCGTATTATGGGCACTACTAAATGCCTAATCAACGGACACGGCCTGAAGCCAATTTGCTGACGATACGTCTACACCATGGTGTTCCATGACCATCCTCACTGTTTCCATCCTGCAACACCAAGGATACGTCGTTGATAAGCCAGCCCCACCTGAACGATGTCGCACTGTCTGCAGTCAGAGAAAAGCTATCACTTTTCCTGTCTTTTCCTTATGTTTGTTTTAACTGCCGAAGGTGTGTGTTCTTTGGCTCTCGTTCCTTTCACACGTCAGTACCCAGGAAACCAAAAGATATTGTTTTAATGGAAATATATGTTTTTTTGCTGATTATCACAGACAACAATTTATGACCCTGCTCATGGTTTTTTCTTACAACCTTATGTATGCATGTGTAAGGCGTCAGAGGACAGCTATGTGCCAGCCAGTGAGCGCTAACCGGACACTCGATAAGCACATATGCAGCAGTTGTATGGATGTGGTTTTCTCTGGAGGGCTTCCGACCACAAATCAAGCAATTCTTTGATGCCAAAAGAATGATAGGCTCTATTACATGGCCTTGGATAGGCTTTAAAAACACCGGTCAGTAGCAGCGATTCATAGAAAAATGGCGATTTTTTGCTGGTAGTGTTCCCTGAATGTTATGCAAAAGTGCGGGATGCGACACGAAGCTACCACGCCAGCTCGAGAGGGAGTAAGTAATCTCCCGCAGCAGTTTCCGTCCCAGTGCGGCCCTGTGCGCCCTGCGCAGTGGCATCGTCCGGCGGCGCTGCAGCGGGAGGTGGTGGAGCAGTTGTTTGAGATGTTGATATGAGTGCATAACGGTGGTATGGATCTGCGACGCATCCAAACTGTTTTCCCCTCCGTGGCGCAACATTATCATGTTGGAAGTGACGTAAGAACACCTGCCATAGAGTGAGTTTGGCAGACGGCCTCACAGCTTCGGCGGCTACGACAACCAAGACCTGCGCTATAATGCTAACTACAGCCAGGGCTCTGCGGCAACAGCCGCTCCGGACGTGGTTACGGGCGCAGCTTAAACGGCTACGGAAACTACGGACTGGGATATAATGGACACGGCGGCTACTACGGCAACAACGGCCTTAGCGGCTATGGTGGATACGGTCGTTCGTCAGTAGCCTACGGAGGGTACGGACGTCGCTCCGGAGCCAACGGCGGCTATATTCTGTGCTTTCGAGCCTAAGGCTGATAAGGGAGGTGTTCGCCTCTGTACCGACTGTATGGCGGACGCAACGGAGTGAATGGTGGGTATTTAATGAATACTGTATTTACGGGAATGGCATGGAGCGAATTTGTTGAAAACACACTCAGTGGCCTAATATTGCCGACTCTGGGTGTAAATCAATACCTTAAAAAATAATTTTCTCTCCTTTTCTCCCCTTTTAGGTGATTTTTTTTTACTCTCACCTGCCATTGTCTAACAACACGTGCTAAACCCATATTTTCTTTTCCGCTGTTCCTATGTCAGCCAATTTCTAGCTCACCAGAAGCCAACGAGCATGAGCAAGGCTCCACCGAATCTGGGCACCTATAGCTACATTCTGCCTGACCTACATTCGAATCCTATGTAAATCATCATGCCTGAGTCACCAATTCAGCAAGTCATCATCAACCTAAGCCTCTCTGACACACCTGTCAATGGCTTGAAGCTAGATCTAAACAATAAACCGAACCATAGCGGAACGTTTTGAGATATTTGGTATAACAAATGTGAGCGGTTAAGATGTACCTAGCTGGGCAATATATCCAGAGTTGGTCCATGCCAGGCTACATGTACGTACACAGCACGCCAACAATGCCTTAGTATGATGGAAGGATGGTTATGGCAGAACAAATAGAAGAGAGATATCTTGCCTAAATTTACGCCGAACAAAAGTGTCTCAGCATGCTGCCTACGAGCCGCGTACCATATGGACTAGCCCTGGACGTCGTTTTATGTATGCATAGAACAAGAACACTACGTACCTTTAAACCCGAGAGCCCCAGCGACTCCAGCCGCCCGCATTCATCAGCCTTGGTGTGTTTACAAAATGCATCACATATGATTTACACCTGTGTGCCAAATATAAGGTTTTCTTGCATCTCGTAAGTTTTTTATCACACCGCGCAATCAACACGCAAACCCTGGTAGTGAATATTACTCCACGTCATTTTCCCCGAAAACATTTGACTACTAAATTGCACCACTCCCGAAATGTAGGAGTGAAAAATTCAAAACATGCCACCCAAGTGAAATGTACAAGCCAAATGTTAACGTTAAACGCTTATTTTTGCACCCTTTTAATAAAATGAGTTGGTAAGCAGTTTTGACAGAAACGTTCCAAACCTTTCTATTCATTTATAGACTTCTACGTTTCTGTTTTTCTTCGTCTCATACAAAAGTGACGCAAATGCATTTTTCCTTCGTTTTGTATAAACGTTGATGATGCTTCTATAGCCTGTAATATTAACCAACTTCTTTGGAAAATTTACCGACTGCAAACTCTTGACCATTTCATTCAATTCGTTAGTCGCCAAAACAGGCTTAATAAGCACCGAAACCTAAACAATTCACAACGAATGAAGGACACAATTTAAAACAAAATACATGTTTTTGCAGACAATTTTGCATTGTCAAAGCACTATTTTGCCTTTGTTGTTCACAGCATAACTCAATGACAAGTTTAAGCCATTCCAGTTTCTATACCTCACCAAGGCATATCATCCTGTCATGCGTAGCATTGGGACAGAACTGACGCAGCTAATACAGAAGTGTTTGGCAGTAAAATTAGGCGCTTCCAAGCTGTTTTCTCTATTTTTTAGTGGTGAGTTCCACTTACTTATTTTACAGTTTATTTTAAATTTTAGAGGGCTACACTAATAATTATATATGTTGTGGGTGAGTTAGATGAGACTCTCTATCAGCAGACGATGTTAAAAACGATGATTTTTTGTTCGGGGGAGGCAAAGAGAAGCCAAACCTTAAGAAGATAAGGATTTTCCGTTTTGAGGCACCTAGTCGCTAACTTGGCCTAGTTTTGAAATATGATTTATGACCAGGCTTGGCCGTGTTCCGTTCACTTTTCTGCCAGTTTTTTTCATTGCATTATGATGCCCAAAAATATTTAGCTAAAGCATTTTGTCCCATACTCTCGACTGTTTGACCGACATTTCGTGAATTGGCCCGTTGTATGAGCCCCAAACAAGATTTCGTCCACAGTTGCCATAGTTTGCTGACTGGCAAGTGAATGCATTGAAATGTGTTGTGCTTCAGTGACATGGTCCACGATGTAAGAAAACAAGCGCATTTGTTGTCCTGCTCATGAGATGACTTCCACGTCAACCCGAAATGTACGTTTTTTCAGCCAAGGTAACTTTCACTGACTCATGAGTTCCCGCCTTTGTGACTTAAACCTTCATTCCTGTGTGGTCCTTTCGCAGTGGAATATTTCACGCCCCACCCTGGCTCTAAAGCGATTCTAGCTCTCTGTACGCACATGGCGATACCATGATCATCTACATCCTACAAACACCAGAGAAAACGGCGCGTCTGCACCCATCGGGTCGATGCCAGTCTGTCTGCTTTAAGAGGAAATCTGTTACTTTTCCTGAATATCCCTTTTGCTCTGTTTGTTTGTAGACTCTTGATGCTCTTTGGTATGCATCATTTGGCACGGCAAGGCGAAGGCTATCGAAATGAATTGTTTAACGCAATTGGCCTGTTTGCTTGCCTTCTAAAGATGGACGTCGCCTTGATGACACTGCGTATTGGCTTACAAGCACAGAAGCAGGATCAGGGGTGTAGAGCGAGGAAACGGTGGGTTCCATGGCACTACATGTTCCGAGAACGGTGGACATACACCATACGGCGACGTGTGAAAAAAATAGATTTCGAAATTGGTTTTAGCTCCGACGTTTTCTGAGACGCTCCTTAACGTATCTTTATAAGGGACGGGGCTATGCAAAGTGAATTTTACGAACCCGTGCCCAGTGCTTCATTGAAAACGACAACAACGATCTGACAAAAACGAGAGTATGGCGGAGACCTTTTCGCAAGTAAGTCTCTTGGGACATAAGAGCAAAATATCGGACATGTTTGAGTGATATGTTGAACGCAGATGTTGAGCTTAGGTAGTATTGTCTGACATCGCGTTGCGCTTCTTTACATGGATGCTTGGCCCATACTTTTGTATTAAGTGGCCTGCGCCATGCATTGTTCAACACAGAAAAGCTGGTCTCCGCTGAGGCTATCACTATGTTCTCCCAGCTTGCTTTCTAAACTGCAAGGTCTACACAGCATTGCAGAGGGCAGATCATTGCGGTTATCCGGGTCACGCATCTCCTTGGCTAACCACTACCGTTTCCACGAGTATAAAGAGAGAACCAGCCCATGTGGAAGCATCAGTGTCTCTCCTTCAGTGTTCACAGAGCTACCAGACGAGAACCATGAAGCTGTGTCTGTTTCTGGCTGCGCTGGTAGCTCTGTCGGCCGCCGCCGAAGACAAGAAGACAGACCAAGAGACCCAGGCCAGCGGGTACTCTTCCGTTTTAGGAGATGGCAGGTAATTTGATACATGTACTTGCTATCGTACGCTCCGCTAGGATGCCCACAAAGCTGAATGTGGTTCGATTTCATACTAGATTTTCAGATTTTTGTCGAGGATAGGTTCATTTCGTTTGGCGTTTATGTTCACTGAGCACGGCCTTTGAAATGATCACCAACATTGATTGTTGGTGACAATCACCAGTGTTGTTATGTATTGGACAATATGTGTGGGCCAGTGATATATTTCATACTGGTGGCCAGTCGCAATTCTGCATGGTGAGAACGAGACACCAATCGATGATGTTTTCAGTTGGGGGCAGGCCATGAAAGAACGCACATAACTGGGTGTGCCTCATGGCCTATCAATCGCATGCACGCAGGCTGTCTTCCCATGTGTGGTGCAACATCACCATCCCGAAACTAACGCACCGACACTTTTTCCCAAGGAGCGGCGTCGTCAGACGGGCTCGCAGCTTCGGCGGCTACGACAACCGGGCCTTGTACAAAGGTAACTACGGCCAGGGCTATTACGGCAACAGCCGCTACGGTCGTGGTTACGGGCGCAGCTTGAACGGCTACGGAAATTACGGACTTGGATATAACGGATACGATGGCTACTACGGCAACAGCGGCCTCGGCGGCTATGGTGGATACGGCCGCTCGTCAGGAGCCTACGGAGGGTACGGACGTCGCTCAGGAGCCTACCACGGCTACAATCGGCACCTCGGAGTTTACAGCGGCTACGGCAGGCGTTCTTCTCCGTAAAGCCGGTATGGCGGACGCAACGGAGCTTATGGAGGATATTACTTAACACGTGTACACGGTGACGATCTGCAACCAGTTTGTTGTCAACGCGCACGTGGCAGTTTGGTGATCGTTCTCACTATTTCCATCCTGCGAACACCAGCGATTCGACATCCCTGAGCCCACACGTGTAATGTCGCATTCCCGGCTGTAAAGACTGTTGCTACTTTTCCTCGCTATTCCTTATGTTGTCTTCAATGTAAGTCTGTATATTCTTCTTCAATGTCTTCCAGGTTTTCAACACATCACACACATGAAACCGAAATATACTGTGCTGTCCGAAATGATCTGGTGTCTTGCCTACTAAAGACTGAAGTCGACAACCAACGCACTGAGTATTGTCTTCCCACAAGTAAAGAAGTTGTCAAGGCTGTGGAACGAGGAAACTGTGGGTTCCAAAGCACTCAATTCCCAAGAACGCTGAACATGAGCTATATGGCGACGCATGAAAACAAGAATCTCGAAATCGGTTTTAGCTCCTACACTTCCTAAGACAATCCTTGACGTATGCTTAAAAGGAACCAGGCTTAGGCGGAGAGAATATTCCGGTCCCGTACCATAGCGCTTCGCCGAAAACAATGACCCAAGACTACGAACAATGCAGCAGCAGATATCCCGCGAGAGAACTGGGTAAAAACCAATGTAATACAGCGACGGCCTTTGTCGCAAAAATGTGCAGGGTGAAATGCAACACAAAACATGAAATATGTTCGACGTGCGCTAGAGAAGAATGAGCATATGCACGACCTATCCATCTCCTGGAGATGCGTACCCAAGATGGTGCATACACACCTATGGCTTAATGAATTGAAGGTAAAGGTGGAGCTATTATTTCGGTGAGTAGGTGATGTGTAACACAAGCCTGTCTGTGCAGCGGAAGATACCTGCATATTGTCGCATATTTGCATGCGTCGGAACCTCCTGCGTCTCTAACAAGGCGGCGTTCTACTGTGCTCCCATTTCAGCAGGGTCCGGGACAACCCACAGTGGTTAGCTGGAGGCATCACTTTCGGTTTCTAACCGTCCTGTGTTCGAGCGGGTCGTTGGGGCTACGCCCAGACTAGATCGACACGCGCTCGGGTGGGGGTCAAGTTGACCCCTCGAAGGTATTTTTCGGAATAGGTCCCGAACGACGCTGGGTAGCCGCGCCGAATATTTCATAGCTGTACACAATTCAATAGCGGATCGTGTGGCATCAAAAATATAGATGTTCTATGTAAAGTCGCTGCCCTACGGTAGGTCAAACTCAGACCATGAATTTTGCGAAGATAATTTCTAGGGAATCGTGCAATCTGATGCAACAACGAAGTGTTTAACGAGACCACACATCTCTGAGATACTTTCTTAGGCAACACCACCATTGAAGAGCAAATTCCATTGACCTAAGGTCAGTTTTGAAGGACACGCCAAGGTCAAAACCGATCTGTTTTATTACTATAGGGCTTGTTGTATCGGGTAGTTTCTGGTGCTCATTTTGTGTTTGTTGATAACAAAAACCACATTGTGCATCTTCCACGAACTTCTCAAAGGTCAGAATAGGTCACTGACCTAAAGTGACCCAGATCAACATTTTGTTTTAAGGAACGTGCTGCCTAGCGTAATCTTTGTCGTTTATTCGAATGCAAAAATCAAAGCAGTCTTGCATGATTTTCGACATGACCTCGGAAACGTCAGACAACATGACTGACCTTAAATGATCAATTCACCTTTATATTAGTACGGGTGTCTAGGTTCTGGAGTACTTTGGAGACCAGCCTGGAGATTGACCTTGCTTGACCTTATTTAAGCCAACGGTCATGACATAGGAATGTCAAACTGTGGTCTAAGTGAGTTCAGATACAGGACAGCAAACCTTGTAACTTTGATATATCTAGCTCCCTTAGTTCCTAAGATCTCAAAGGGTTCAAATTGACCCCCACCAGAGCCAAGGGTATCCAATCGGCCACCCGGGTGCGTGTTAAAGCAGCGTTGCCTCTCCTTCATTTCCGAGTTCAGTAAGCCATGAGGATTTGATTGCATGATGTGCAAGTAGTGGGACGCATATTCATAAGTGTAAAGATGAAATGATCCACAAAATTGCGAATGTGTCAGTTTTTGGAGACCCTTTGTCGATGTGTTCCGACGCAAGCGTTCATGTCCGAACTCGAGTGGTAGCGATATCCTGAATGGAGTGGTAGCGATGGCCGGGCTGGAGTGAAGGCGAATCAGAGCGTATGTGGTAGCCACGACAGAGCTGAAGTGATAGCGACGTCAGAGGTTGGTCTAGTGGTGAAGCCAAAAGCTGATTCTTTGGTCCAGCCAGAATGCGGTAACGTGCGGCACCAGTGCGCAGCGCAGAGCGCGGCCGGTTACAGGTGGCACGATACAGGCGTCTGGTCTCGTGCGTGAGAGAGAGAGAGAGAGATAGAGAGAGAGTATAGAGAGCTATAGAGATAGAGAGATATAGAGAGAGATCGAGATGGAGAGAGCGAGATAATAGAGTAGATAGAACGAGAGAGAGAGAGAGAGAGAGAGAGAGAGAGAAGAGAGAGGAGAGAGAGAGAGAGAGAGAGAGAAGAGAGAGAGAGAGAGAGAGAGAGAGAGAGAGAGAGAGAGGAGAGAGAGAGAGAGAAGAAGAGAGAGAGAGAGAGAGAGGAGAGAGAGAGAGAGAGAGAGAGAGAGAGAGAGAGAGCGAGAGAGAGAGAGAGAGGAGAGAGAGAGAAGAGGAGAGAGAGAGAGAGAGAGAGAGAGAAGAGAGAGAGAGAGAGAGAGAGAGAAGAGAGGAAGAGAGAGAGAGAGAGACGGTTTATTGAGAAAGACATGGCTTCGAGTATCAACTCACATAGCACCTGTGCACAAAATACCTATGAAGTAGGATACTACTTAGTTGATAACATATCGGTGTTTAAGGGAGTGGTTATATGGGGAATACTTGATTTGCGTAGTCGCGTACCATAGCAAAACGTTTGGAGTGTGCTTGCGCTCCTGGTATTTCTGCCAGAGATCGCCACTCGTTGCTTTGGATGCAGATCTCTATGCATAGAAGACACTTGCATTTATTTTCCTAGCCCTAGGCATAGCTTTTCTCTTCTTTCAGCGAGGGTTTCCATGCCCTAGCGTTACGAGATGTGCGAGTACTTTTCAGAATGGCCGAAGATAATTTTCAAGGCTCTCTTCTGCACTTTTTCAGGATGTTGCGCCTGCTTGGCAGTGAGTCCCGCGTGAAAAACCGGTGCACATTATTCTAGCAATGGCCGGATGTAAGTAACATACACACGAACAAGCTGTTCCTGCGGTGGATAGTACTTCTTCATTATGTAGGGCATATATGGAGCTTTTGATGCTTTGGTTACAATATCCACATGCGCTTGCCATGACATGTCATGTGATATTGTTACACCCAAAAGCTTAGTTTCGATGGCAGGTGGCCGGCTTTTTCCTTGAATCATGATGTCCGGTAGTGCTAATGGTTTTTTGGCTGTGAAAAAATGCATGACTTGACATTTGTCAGTATTCAATATCATCTTGTTTGCCGTTGCCCAATCACTTATCTTGTCAGTGTGCTCTTGCAACTGGCAGTGCCGATCTACTTGGTCAATTCGACACGCCTGGTGTATGGTAAGGTCGTCTACATAATTCAGTCGGTTGTCAATATCAGCAGCGGCACCGTTAAGCATAGCCAGCAAAGCAACCGGGCCAACTAAGGTGCCCTGTGGAGTGCCGCATGTCATGGTTCCCCAACGACTCATAGTTCCATTTGGCATCTTGACACGCTGCTGTCGGTCGTGCAAGAATGAGCAAAGCCACTTTGCATACCCGGAGCAAAGTTCCATTGCAAGCATGTTCTGCATAGCTGTTGTGTGATCAATGAGGTCAAATCCCTTCTTAAAATCGTGTATAACCATAGAAAATAATTTGTCTGCTTCGTCTAACTACGTCAACAAATCATGCAGCAACCTAATTAAAAAGTGTGACGTTGCGGCACCTTTCATATTTCCGTGTTGGCGCTCATCTATGCTTGGTTTTATGTCCGCCAGAATTTGCGGAACAGTAATTTTTCCAAAACCTTGCTAAAGGTCGGTGTGATGCTTAGCGGTCTCAGATCTCTTGGCAACTTGGGCGATGTTTTCTTTGGCACAGGGGTGATTGTTGCTCTCTTCCACACCAATGGCACGCACCCTTCACGCAATGATCGGTTGAAAATATGAGTAAGTGGTACGGCCAGTTCCACAGAAAATTGCTTTACTAGCCGCACTGGAAGTTGTCCAGTGGGCACAGTCATATTTTCTCTCAACTACGATAGCTGAAAAGCAACATGCCACGGCTGTATCTCAGCAGGAATCTTATTGGCAGGCCGATAGCAGGGAAGCTCTTCTGTGCGCAGCGGTCCATACGTTGTGCATATTTCTGCAAAAAACTGATTTACTAATTCCGCTTTTGATTTATCATCATTGGCTTCCGCAAGATCCAGGCTCCATTATTTTGGTTTTTGGTTGGTTAAGCTGGCTACTTGTCGGTACCAACACCTTCTTCCGTCAGAAGGAATTCTTTGAATTCGTTTCCTGTACCATGATGTTTTTGCACCTGTAATCTCTAGGCCTACTCTGGCTCTAAGTTCTTGCAATCTGTCCATTTGGTGGCGACTGTGCGCCCCATTGCGTTTGTTTATCAGTTCTTTGAAGCGCGTTTTGTTATCCACTGCGGCTCACTTGCCTTGCATTTGTATTTAATTTCAGGGAAGTGCTCCTCATAAGCATTTTGAAGTAGCGGTTCTAGTCGAGCGGCAGCTTGATCTATATCATTTATTGCTATTATATCTTGCCAGTCATGGCAGCAAATCCATCTGCCAAAACTTCTGATGAATGAGCCCTTCAAAGGCCGTAAAAAGCAATAGCCT